TTAGTCATCATTTTTATTTGGCCAGAGTTCTGGGGACAGTATGCACAATGAAATTTCCAGTTAGCTTCCGTGTTACCTGGAAGATGAATACAGGCCCATTGTCTGAGTCTAAGGGCATCAGAAGGCCACACCTTGGGATAATTTCTTCTAGTGGTTTTTTAAATTACTGTTGCAGCTGTCTCATGTTTTGTTGGAAAGGCTTTAGTCCATCCTGAAAAAGTACCTGTGAAGTATAATAAGTATTTATAACCATAAAGACCTGATTTTACCTTGGTGAAGTTGATTCCCTAGTTGGCTCCTGCTCAGGTTCCTCTTTTCTGGTGCCCCATTCTCATGACTCTGTTCTTTGCATTCATGAGCTAGCATGTGAAGCATTGGCCTATGGCCTCTGCTCTCTCAGATATAAGGTCAAAAACCTTAAGGTGTGCTCTCCTTAGAAGGTCTTGTATCTTCTTCTTTCCCAAGTGAGTGCTCTGATGTATCTGCCAGACTAGTTGAGTGGCAAAATCTGATGGGAGAATGATCCATTCATCTGGCATCTTGGACCATCCTTTCGCTTTGTAGGCATTTGCACATGAGTAGATCTTCTGGAGCTCTTGGCCAGTATAAGCTGGAAATTCTGGAAGTGTGGGTGCTACCAGCTTTAGTAGTGAGACCAGCAGGACAGTTGCCTTCTCGAGGGCAATTTCCTTTGCTGTTACACTGCCTAGTTGTTTCCCTTTAGGATAGGATCTTCTCCTTTTTGGTGTCCTGGATAGTGCATGACAGCTATTTCTCTGGGCAGCTATGGCCTGTAAGAGATCTAAAATCTCCTGTTTGTTTTTAATAGTCTTTCCTTCTGCAGTTAACTCTCTTCCCCTGTAGATGGTGCCATGGACATGCACTGTGGCAAATGTATATGGGCTATCAGTATAAATGTTAAGTCTCTTATCTCTTCCCAGATGTAATGCCTTAGCCAGAGCTATCAATTTAGCCCTCTGAGCTGATGCGCCAAGAGGCAGGGCCTCTGCCTATATGACCTTGTCTTTGGTGGTGACTGCTACCCCTGTGTCCCTGGTACCATCCTTGATGAAACTACTGCTATCAGTATACCATGTTACCTCTGCCCTCACCAGAAGGATATCCTTGAGGTCTGGCCTGATCCCATGGAGATGACTCAGGATGTTCACATAGACATGGAGAGGTCTGTCCAAGTCCAGATCTGGGAACAGGGTGTCAGGATTCAAGACACTACTGCTGGTGAACTGGATTCCATGTGGGTTTAAGAGCAGAGCTTGATAATAGGCCAGCCAAGCATTAGTTAACCATCTATTGGGTAGGTTTTAAAGAACCCCATCAATAGCATGGGGGGGGTTATCACCTTTAGGGTTTGTCCCAAAGTCAGTTTGTCTGAGTCTTTAACTAGCAGGACTGTTGTTGCTATTATATAGAGGCAAGGGAGGCATCCAGTGGTCCCTGGGTCCAGTCTTTTTGATACGTAGGCCAAGAGCCTCTTCCATGGGCCAAGGGATTGTGTCAGTACCCCCTCAGCAACTCCCTTTTTCTCATTCACATATAGGTGGAAGGGTTTGGTGACATCTGGTAATGCTAGAGCTGGTGCATTTAGTAGAGTTGCCTTGATTTCATCAAAGGCTTTTTCTATCTGTGAAGTCCAGTCAAGGGGAGCTTTCCCTCCCCTTGTGGCCTCATATAGGGGCCATGCCAGCTCATCAAACCTCAGAATCCAAAGTCTACAGAACCCAGCAGACCCCAGGAATTCTCTCAGCTCTTGACGGTTGCTGGGTCTGGGGATCCTCAGGATGGTTTTGTTTCTTGTTGTTGATAGCCATTTCTTGTCCCTCTTGAATGTGTATCCCAGATAAGTTACCTCAATGTGGCAGAGTTGATCTTTCTTGTCTGACACCCAATATCCCAGGTGTCCCAAAGTTTTGAGCAGTTCCTCAGTAGCAGCTTTGAAGGTTTCCAAAGTTGTCAGCTGCTATTAGGAGATTGTCCACATACTGTAATAAGCTGATATTGGGGTGGGTCTGTCAGTACTCACTCAAGTCCTCATGGAGGGCATCATCAAAGATAGTGGGAGTTTTTGAACCCCTGGGGTAGTTATGTCCAAGTAAGCTGTCTGCTGAATCCATCTTCTGGGTCTGTTTATTCAAAGGCAAACAAGGCCTGGGTGGCTGGAGCCAGTGGCAGGCTGAAGAAGGCATCCTTGAGATCTAACACAGTATAAACAGTTCTTTCAAGGGCAGGGTACTAAGAAATGTGTAAGGATTTGGCACTGTGGAATGAATGTCTTCCACCCATTTGTTAACCTCTCTGAGGTCCTGCACTGGTTGGCAGTCATTATAGTTAGGCTTTTAAACCAGCAACAGAGGCATGTTCCAGGATGATTGGCCAGGTATCAGGATACCCAGGTCCCTGAGGCACTTGATGTGAGGGGTGATTCCCAGTTTGGTCTCTCTAGACATTGGGTACTGTCTGAGGCATGTTGGCATTGTGTCAGTTTTCAGCTGTACTAATATGGGGGGGACTGAGCATTGCCATCCCAGATCCACCAGTTTCTACCCATGCCTGGGGTAATTGGTTGAGCCATTTTTGTGGTAGGTTTCTATTGTTGGTTTTTTTTTTTTAATTTGGGGGCTCATGAACAACTTATGTTCATCTGAGTGACATGCTGAACATGTATAGTGCTTTTCCCATTTGATCAGTCACTGATATTCCAGTCCAGTCAAAATGGATGTGGGTTCCCAGGTTAATAAGTCTCTTCCCAATAGTGGGTATGGGCATTCAGTGATGACCGTGAAAGAGTGGGTTACCTGGCCCTTTCCTATATCTACCATCTTTGGGTAGTCCATGAGTACTGGCTCACCCCTGTGGCCTCTTGTACCAGGTTTGCTTTTGGGATAGTTGGCCCAATGGTTGTTTCAGGATGGTGTCTACCAGAAAATCTATGGGTTTCCCCTCTACCTTTAGGGTTAACCAAGGTTCAGGGAGGGGTTCTAAGCCCTGTCCCCTTTAATCACTCATTTCTTCCAGTTCTAGTACCTCTAAGTGGTTCTGCTATTGATCCCTACTGTTTAGGGCATTTGTTTTTCCAGTAACCCAATTTCTTTTACAGTAAGCACATTGGTCTCTTTGTAAGCTGGGCTTATTGCCTGGCCTTGTCTTTAGGCCCTTCCCTCTCTGTTTTGAGTTTCCAAAAGCCAATTTCCTTGCCTGCCTCTTAGCTTCAGGATCACCTGGTATAGCTAAGAGGATCTTGATGAGTCCTTGTGTCTGCTTATCTAAAGTCTTTGTTAGCCTTCTGGTCTGTCTTTATTCTGTGGTCTTTCTGTTATTGAACACTTTTTCCATAACCAAAATGAGTTCAACCAACTTCTTACCTTCAAATCCTTCTAGCCTTTACGATTTACAGTGGACATCCAGAGGTGACTTGTTGATAAAAGCCAAGCTCACTGCAGATCTATTCTCTGGCACTTCTGGATTCAAAGGCATATAGGTCTTATAGGTGTCTATCAATCTTTCTAAGAAGGCTCCTGGCATTTTCTTCAGTCCCTGGCATACTTGACTTACTTTGGACAAATTTCTGGGCCACCTCCTGGCAGCCCAAAGACCCCCATTCCTGTTATAGCCTGATGGTAGACTTTTAATCTCTCCCTACCTTCTTCCATGTTGAAGTACATGTTAGGTTAGGTTAGGTTGCATCAGGGGAAAACAGTGTTTATGAGGTCTGCATTGGTAGTTGACCTTCTGTCTGGGCCCAGAACCAATATATGGGCCTATGCCAGAATCTATTCCTTTTCCTTAGTAGTGAAGAAGACCTGGGGCAGTTGTTACCAACTGTTATCCCATGTTGTCTGGTGAGTAAAAATCACAGAATCTAACAACTCAATGAGCCTTGCAGGCTTCTCAGAAAATTTAGGGTTCTGCATCTTCCAATTATACAGGTTGCTAGTGGCAAAAGGCCAAAGGACCAGCTGCTGCCTGCTGGTGGCATCAGGTGGTCCCACAGTATGTAGTGGGAGGGCCACGGTGTCAGTCTTGGCTGAGGGCTCCTCCCTAGTGCACATGTATGGAAGGCTTCTTAATTCCTCCTCCTTCCCTATTGCCACCCCTCTGGACTCTCCCTGTGCCTCCACCCATCCTCATGCTCCTCCCCATGTCCCTTCCTCCTGAGCCACCAGGGGGTAGGGAGATGGTGCTGAGAAAAATTCTTCCTCCAGATCACTTGGAGATGGGAGGACAGGGTAAAATGATGCAGAAAACTTGCCTCCTCCTTCTCCCTTTAGCTCCTCCTTCTCTGTGGTTACCACCATTATTACCTTTGAAGGAAGAAGGGTTTCAATCATTTAGGGGGCTTCTCTATAAGAAACTGCCAGGTGGTTATATACGAGACCTGATCATGGTACCCTGGTGACCCATATACTATGTTCTTGGCTTGATAGATTGTTGGGAGGTCAAAAGTCCCCTCCTCTGGCCATCCCACATCAAGAGTGGGCCACTAGTTACTCCAAAAATGGAGAGCTTACTTTTCTGGATTACAAGCCCTAAGTCATTAGCTTCAGACTGGAAGTCCTTGAAGTTGTCTAACAGGGTTCTAAGGAGGTGGGGGTGGATGTTGCTTGCCCCATCTCCTCTAGGATAAGAAAAGAAGTTAGTAGACAAGGACAGACAACAATGACATGGACAAACAAGGACTGGTACAGAACCTTAAACAGAAACCAGAATGGGACAACAGCCTATCTCATGGCTCTTCACAAGCCCTTTTTTTGTAGGAGCAACCTGCTGTACAGTCCCAGCCCAACTAGAGTCCCCCAAATCCTACAAATACAAGTGGATCAAAGATGTCTCTTGACCCATATGGTGTGGGTGGCAGAAGTGCATTCACTTGGCATACCCACGCCAGCCTCAGGTTCAGTTTAGCTTGAGTTTCCCAGAAAAACAGAACAAAGAATGCAAGAATGCAAAGAACACAGAGACATACAAAGAGTGCTCACACTTACCGGCCAGCTGGATTTTCAAACCACCCATGTGTCAGGAGTCTTGGGGTACATCCTGGGCAATGCACCATATGTTAGGGTCTGCAAGAAGTCCCATAAAAAACACCAGACATGATTCAATTAGCAAGAGCATTTAATATATAGAGAGTAAAGATTCCAGTATACTGGGCCACACATTCAACAAAAAGGCAAAATGGTGACCCTGAGAGAAACTCCTTTTAAGCACAACCAAAGGAATTTTAACAACAGTGTGACCATTCTACTTAGGATTGGCCTACATAAGTGGCAATCATATCAGTACATTTCTAATTGATTAGGGCTAGCAGGGGTGGGCTAAGGCTATAGCTTTTCCATTCTTGGGCAAGTCTGGACAAGTCCTAGACTTTGTCCTTATTTGATCATTACCTGGGTGGAGGAGGGGGAAGGAAGTTGGCCCAGGTGTATATGCCTTGTCCAGTGTAAGGGACATTGGTGATTGATTATCCTTTGTTTGTGAATTGAGGCCTAGTTCTTAACTGAGTTATTAGGAACCTGTCACAATATTTGCCTGGCCCTCTCATGAGGTAGGAAGTCACTGTTGGCCACTCCCTTGCTTCTCTGATTTTTGAGGTTTTTACCCCAATATTGGACTCCTGGTTTTTATTGTTAAGATTAATTAGATTTATGCTTCATCTGGTGTCCAACTTTTGAGGCATGTATTCACAAAATAGCCATTTGCCCATGGCTGTGCAGCCACTGCCACTCACCAAAGGTGCATGTAAGAACTGCATTTGGCAGAGTCATCACACCACCAGCTGACTTTCCCTTTCTTCCCCATGCCCTCTGAGAAAGTCTGGGATTTTGCTTTTGTAGCCACTCTACAGCAATCTCCACAAGCCCCAAACTCCACAAGCACTTGGGTTCCAAATGCTGCCAGAGTTAGCCCTTACTTTCTGCCAGTCACACATGCTGTTTTCACATATTCTCCCATGAAGATGGCTAGCTCATTTTCCTGGTGGGTTGTGGGCTTCCCTGTACCCCCTCCTCAAGCTGCTGACACATGATCATCAGCAGCTGTCCTCAGCCAGGCTGTCCACTGTCTGTGTTCTCTGCTCAGAAATGCTACAAAGCAGCAATTGGTTTCACACTTCACAGTCATTGTCAGCAAATTTGGTGAGACTATTGGGAATTCTTAAAGGGGGGAATTAGTTAAAAAAAGGAGAGAGTTTTTTTCCCCACATTAAAAAATGGGAAACACTATTATGGTAGAGAGAGTTAGGTCTCCATAAGATTACACAATGGATGGTTTAAAAATGCAGCAATTAAATGAAGGAATAATCAACTAGCTGAGAATGACATAATGTTAATTATCATTGTGATAATTCTTATTTAATCCCTAAAAAAGTTGGTTGATATGGATGCCAAGATATAAGCCTTAGAAAAACTTGTTAAAACTGATAATAGAGCTATTCAGACACAGACAGAGGAATTCAAAGGAGAACCAATCTCACCATTACATTATAAAATTAGAGAGTAATAACCCAAAGTTATCAAACAATCAATCTTAATTTAACCAGTCTTTTTATGGGAACAGCTGCCAAATGACAGGTATCCCCAAGGGGGATATGTTATATAAGAGCTGACTGGATTCCTGTGGAAATGTTAGATTTGAGGAAATTTAAGGAAGTGATAGTCTCATATGGTATGCATTCCCCTTTGTGAAGCAGATGCTAAATTCATGGTCAACTTGTAACAGAATTGTCTGAAAAGACTGAAAAGACTTTTTTACAGCAGTATTGGAACCTGGTCCTCAATTACAGTGGAGGACCTGGTGGAAAGATGAGGCTAGGACCATTTAACAATGAAGTAGGGCTAGAGGTATTGAAATTTCCCAAGAGCAACTTCTTGGAGAGGGCAATTATGCTGTTATACAAAGACAGTCTCTATATGATGACTACACCCAGGCTCTATGCCATGGAGAAGCTTTCAATGCTTGGAATAGAACTGAACAAATTGGAAAGAGAACTGAGTCATTTATTAAAGGTATATATGGCCCAAAAGAAACCTTCACAGATTTTTTACAAAGATTGACTTCAGCTGTAAATAGAATGATACCAAATTCAGAAGCTAGACAAATAATAATTGAATCTTTGGCTTTTGAAAATTCTAATTAACAATGCAAAAGGGTAAGTAGGCTTTTAAAGGCAAGATCAGCACCCATAGAAGAATAGATATGAGATACTATCAATATTGAGTCTCATAACCCTGATGATGCTTAGATAAGAGAGATGATTTCTATAGGCTTGAAGAAAAATAAAAATGTCAGCTGTTTTAATTGTGGCAAACATGGTCACATAAAAAGGGATTGTAAACAGGGTATTCCTAAAAACAATATTTTTTCTAGGAATAATCCAAACAGAAGACTCCTGCCTTCTGGAGTATGCAGAAGGTGTGGCAAAGGCTGACATTGAACCAATGAATGCAGATCAACAAAGGAAAGACAAGGTAACCCTTGTATTGGGAAATGCCTTGGGAGGACTCTAATAGTCCTTCATGTCAAATTTGGTTCAGTCATTCCCTGTTACTATGGGGGAAACTAGAGCAATGAAGGGACCTAATGCCCATTGTAAAAATCCGTACTACTCTGAATGATAGAACAGCTTTAGAAGATAAAACAAAAATTTTCAGGAAAAACAATAAGCAAATATTTTGGCAAACTTCTATAAATGATCAAATACCAAAGCTAAGGGTATGAATAAATGACATTGTAATTGGAGGTTTTGTAGACACAGGGGCAGATGTAATAATAATTGCACCAAATTCTTGGCATCCAAATTGACCTCTTCAGGAGGTAAATGTTCAGAGTTTAGGGATGGGAACTTTGTCTCAGGTAAAACAAGGCACAAGATGGGTTGAATGTATAGGGCTAGAAGGACAGAGAGGAAAATTAAAGCTGTAAAGGCTAATAGAGCAATGAATTTATGGGGACTTGATTTGTTACAGCAATGCAGTAATTTTTTGGGAGAGATTAACAACAAATATCCCAAAAGCAATTGAATTCAGTTTATAAAGAGAACTAACTGGAATCTTCCTTACATTGTATGGGGAACACCAATTTGTGGAGCCCCTACATTTTATACCAATGCAAAAAAAAATCAGAGAAGGCAGGTTATAAATCAAGGAATTTGAATAAAGTGGCTCAGAGCCCTTATGATTCTGTTCAAAAGTCAGAATTATATGCTATTCTCATGGTATTATTAGATTTTCTAGAACCTCTTAATATAGAAACTGACTCTTAACATGTAGAAAAATTTATTTTACATATTGATACTGCTGAATTTATTCCAGATGATACAGAATGGACTTTGTTATTTATTCAGTTACAAGAAATTATCAGAAATAGAAATCATCCCATATATAAGACATGTTAGATCCCATATGGGTCTACCAGGCCCTCTAGCACACGATAATGATGAAATTGATTAAATTGGTAGGAAATGTGCTATAAGCCTCAGAATTTTATAAAAAAAACCCCACACCATGTCAATAACAAGGGTTTGAAAAAGGATTTTTCCATCACTTGGCAAGAAGCCAAAGAAATTATATGAAAATATCCTACTTGTTCTTTATACAGCCAAACTTCGCTACCTGCAGGAAGTAGCTCAAAGGGTACTCAGAGGAATGAAATCTGGTAAATCCATTGATGTGTTCCATTTTGTGGAATTTAGAAAAGTAAAATATGTACACTACACCATTGATACATATTCAGTATTTCAATGGGCAACTGCTTTGAGTTCTGAAGAGGCTGATTCAATAATTACACATTTGTTCAAAGTTATGGCCATCATGGGGATACCTGTACAAATTATGACTGACAATGCTCCAGCATATGTCTCTAGTAAAATAAAACAGTTTTTTTGCTTATTACAAAAGAAAGCATATTACAGGTACAACACACAATCCTACAAAACCAGCAGTTAAAGAAAGATATAATCAAACTCTAAAAGTTATGCCTAATAAACAGAAAGGGGTAGTAAAGGTCCCTCTGAAATAGATTGAAAAATACTCTATTAACTTTAAATTTTCTAAATGCTAATGAGAAAGGAATGACAGCTGTGGAGAGACACTGAATGATAGGAAAAAACTGCTGAATTAAATCAGCCTGCATACTTTAAAAATGTGTTGTCCTCAGAATGGAAACCAGGGTATGTGTTACATTGGGGAAGAGGTTTTGCTTTTGTTTCCACAGGAAAAGAAAAGCTATAGATATTCTCAAAATTGATAAAGATTATATTTGAACAAGAGAGACCTCTTGATTAGAAGAGGTGATAGTTCATCCACCAGTGTGACCATTCAATCTCACAAACTTATATGAGTAACAAATGCTTTTCATCTGATCAGATATAACTTGGCAAAAAGGAAAACTCCCCAAAGTTAGGGTTGGGACAGGGTTTTGTTTTTTTCTTTCAAGGAGAATGAAGGCATCCAGCTAAGGAATCTGTAGACCAGTGGACAAATGAGAAATCTGAAGAAAAAGGACAAATCATCCAGAGAAAATGCCCCAAGAAAAAGAGTAAATTGGTCTATTGGTATATCACATTTCCAACAGGATAAAATTTCATAAATCTTCTCAAATGTTTGTTTCTGCTTTCTCTACAGACATACAATGCAATGGTCTTTTTGTAGTCCCAGTTCAATTAAAATTAAAGCTGGCTTTGGAATTGGAGCATGGCTTTCTCCTTCTCTAAATCCAAGCATGCTTGTTAAAGTAAAATCCAAAATCTCCGTCTCATGTCAGAAGAGCCACTTGATATGTGACAGAAGAAAAACCAAAATTGAGGGACTATTCTATTGCCACTAATCTCATAATTCTTTGGTTTTATTTTGACTCTTTAAAACTTTTCTTAAGGTATAAATATTATCTCCAAATGTATAATATATATATATTTATATTTTATATATATATATATATATATATATATATATATATATATATATATAATATATATATATTTTAAACTTGGTCATGTAGAATACTAATTCTAGAAAAAGGCTTCATCTAGCTTCCTGTACATGATTTCAGGTTTGAGTCTCTATTAGGT